CAGCCCCACGTCGGAGCTGGTCAGGCCTCTGGCAAGAGCGCAGGTGGCCCACTGTTCCTCCTTCAGGGCTGCCAGGTTCGCCGGGACTGCCAGCTGGTCCAGGACAAGCAGAGAGGCTTTGAGCGGGAAGTCGCACCTGTCCATGTACTTGCAGTTGGACGGGCAGTCGCTGATCTTGGCCACCGGGTGATGATGGTACACTGCCATCCGACAACTCTGAGTGGCGCCTCGATGTGAACGTGCAGGGGACGGAGATCCTTCACGTCCATGCCGTGGTTCGCACCGAACCTGTTCCGTAATCATGGGGAGGCGTGCCTTGTTCCAGGGATCACAGCAGGCCTGTGCAGCCTCCCAGACGTTTCCTGTGGGACCAGGTTTGCCGTGCGGGAACAGGAGCACTCTTGGTTCACGGACCACGACGAGAATGATGGCAAGAGAGTGGTGGCCCAAAAGTAACTGGGTGGCTTCCCGTCGGGGCCGCGCAGGTTGGCGCAGCGCTTGTCCCAGCCAGGCGCGGCCTTGCCCAGGATGGTCCCTGGGTGCTCAGTCGGTGGCCGCCCAGAGTGACGCCGGCAGCGGCATGTGCTGCGGCTGCAGCAGGCTGGCGGCCGTCGCGGTGTGCCAGGTGTGACGGAGGCCTCCCTGCGCCGCCACCTGCGCGATGTGCCTGGTCGCAGTGGCTCTGGCGGAATTTGTTCCTCGAAGACAGCATCCGCCTGGTCGCCTGATGGGTGCAGACTGGCCAGGTGCGGCAGGACTGTCTAGGAGGCAGTGTACACGTAGTTGGTCGGGTCGTGGCCAAGCTCCAGGTCGTGCAGGAACCCATCAAGGCTGAGTAGTTTCCTGCAGTGCTCCGCCAGGTCCTGTGGCACGTCCCCGGGGCCGTTCATGTGCTGGTGCAGGCTCATTGCGTAAAAGAGCATTAGGGCGAGAGCTGAATCCATAAGTAGCCTGGTGCTGGCGGCCAGCAGGTCGTCCGCCAGGTGGTTCCAGTCGTGGTCCTCGGGTAGCGGTGAGCCGACCAGGGTAGAAAAGCTGAGCTGTTGCAGATCCCGTATCTTGGCCAGCTTTTGCTCCCTGGCTTTTTGCTCAGCGTCGATTGCGAGCTTGACCTTGTCCTTCGGCGTGGCCTCATCCCGAACGGTGTCGCCAGAGAGCGAGCTGGGACTGAAGTCCCGGTCCTCCAATATGCGTGGGCGGGTGCCAGCCTAGTCGGCGTCGGTGAGCTGGACCCAGATGCCCACCTCGAGGTCCCACCGCGAGCACGTTAAGCTGAGACTCGGTCGCTGCGTTGAACATGTTGCCATCGCCAACGATCACGTCCCCAGACTTAGCCCAGGTGTAGGCAACGTTGAGCCTGTGCTGGTCGCCGATAAAACCCCCCAGGTGCAGTTGCTGTTGGCGCACGTGGTTAAGATTATATCCAGATCCGCTTCGTCGCCCTGGCTGGAGTCGATGGCGTGGATTTTGATGAGCCCTTCTTGGAACAGCCTGGGGCATCGCTTTTCCAGTCCTGGGAAGCGCAGTCTAAGGCCGTTCGCCGGGGTCTTGCTCTGTCGAAACACTGTTTGGTCCCCCGGTCCAGCAGCTCCCCTGCCCAGGTGACTAGAGACGGGGGTGCGGGATCTGGTTGTTGCCGGCCTTCCGGGCGACGTGTCTCGGGATGAGGCGTGGCCACGTCCAGGCGACCTGCCTCGAGGCGACACGGACCCTTCGCCTTTCCCGCCCCCCTTGCCGTCGTAGGTCGAGCGGAATTCACGGGCTGTCAGCGGCCAACCCTTTCGCGCGAGCGGCAGCATGGCCCTGTATCCGCAAAGGACCATGCCCTTGCGCGGGGTCCTTGGTAAGTCGTCCTCGCATGCTGCTACCAGGTCACAGATCGTGGCCGCCTCTTTGATATTGGCGTATCCTTCCGCCATGGCAGTGGTGACCTCGTGGGAGTCGACGTGGATCAGGAGGAATCGGATGTAATCGCCATCCTGGGCTCCGTACACTGGGTTACGGAAGCCGCCCAGTCCTGGGATACAGTCGCCGGTTGAACCTTCATCCTTGTCCAGGGTCGCGTCCACCTTGGCCAGTGGCTGCGCTCTCCTCCAGGGGAGCCCCTGTGCTAGGAGTCGGTTCGCACCGGGGTCAGCCAGGCTTGACATTAATTTGTCCTCGTAGAAGCAGCGGGAGGCCCATTGGAGGATGCTGATGTGCATGCGGTAGCACCCACGGGTACGTTGTGGTCGCAGCCTGGTCCGAGACGAGCGTGTCGTGGAAGCGCTCCATCACTGAGATGGTGAGCTCCATAGCGGCTGCGCGCTCGGACACTACGGTAGGGCAGAGCTGTCTCTCGTCCCCGACCACCAGGACCCGTCCTCCTGCCCCGAGGAGCATGAGAGAGATGATGGCAAGGGCCCCGGTGGACTGTCCAGCCTCTTCCAGGATCCCCAGCACGATGTTGTGACTTTCGTCCGTGTCCAGGTCCGCTGCTAGCTTGCTAGCTCATGGGTGGCCAGGACCAGCCTGGCGTTGTTGAGCAGCTCCCGCTTGTACTTATTGAAGGGCTTGATACTGCGTCCAGGTTCAAAAGGGTGGTGTCCCCAGGCTGCCTCGAACTTCTTGGCTGGCGCCTTCCGGACGGAGGCCAGATTTGCAAGCCGATCCATGGTTTCATGTCTGCTCGGGCGCGTGGATCGGTGGCCGTCGTCAGATAGGGGTTGGAATGGCGATGGGCTAGAGGAGGGGCTGGAGGGGGGGCAGGGGGAGTTCCTCCCATCCTCCCACCTCCCTCCTCCCTCCTCTCGCCTTTTCCTCCTCTCTCTCTCTCTCCTCCCTCCCCCCTCCTCCCACCTTTTCCTCCTCCTCCTCCTCCTCCTCCTCCTCCTCCTCCTCTTCCTCTTCCTCTTCCTCCCCCTCTACAGTGACCCAGCATGAGATTCACTCTCCCCCATCGCCCCTGGCAGTGTGCAGTGGTGGTCCGGCCGCTCTCGCGGTATGGTTTGTAGCATTTCTTGTTTTTATGTTTTTGTTTCTTCGTTTTTTCCCTTCTTGTGTCGGGCCTTTCTTTGTTCCTTCAAGAATGGTGCTGCCGCCGCAGCGCTGGCCACATGCTCTCTCGTCGTCCAGAGTGACGCTCTCGCCCCAGCGCGGGCTACGTTTCTGGATCCAATTTCTTGTCCATCGTTGCTGTCCCCCACCTTTCCCCTCGTGGGCCAGATCCTGCACTTGTGAATGGGGTGTCAAGGTCCTCTAGGACACCCCAGTCGGCGGATAGGAAAGGATTCATCGCAATAGGAAGGGATGGGTGGGAGGGGTAGGATGTCAGATGCGGCGCGAGCAGACCTAGCTTGCCTCTTTTCTTCCTTCTCTTTCCGTCCTCTCTCTCCCTCGTTTACCTTCTGCCCGTCCTCCTGTCACTGCTCTATCGTCCGTGTCTCGCCTCTCCCTCTCTTTCTTCTGCTGCCTTTTCTCCCCGCAATTTTTTCAATATGAGTATTACTGCTCTCTCTCCTTCGAACATGGTCGGGGAGTCGCCCACCCCTCCCAGCGTTTTTGTTGTTGTTAGTTTTGTTGTGTGTGTGCTCTGTGTGTATACATATATATATTTATATACACATACGTCTGTATCTTTATTTCTGTACACATATTTCTTTGTATTTTAAATGCAGCATTATTTGTTTTCATGTGTTTCGCAATCCGTGAGTCTTCGGTCCCTCAAAATGGTGCTGCCGCTGCAGCGCGGGCCTCGTTTTAGGATCGGCGCTCTGCTCCCGTCGTTCAGAATGGCACTCGTCTCAGCGTGCCACTTTTCTGGGTCCAAGTCCTTCCGTATCGGCGTCGCCCCCGTCCTTTCCCCTCCTCCGCCTTCCCCCTGTTCTCCTGCTCTTCTCGTTCCTTCCATTCCAGCTCCTGCTGCTGCTGCTGTTCCTCGTCCTCCTCCTCCTCCTCCTCCATATCCTCCTGCTCATCCGCCACCTCCTGCTCCAATGGAAGCACCGCTTTTGTCTGGTTGCGCACGACACAACGGGGTCCTCTCCAGGTCCCTAATGACACGAGTCGGCGGATGGAGAAACAACAGCGCCATGGGAGGGGATGGGAGGGCAGGGTATGATGTCAGGTACGGCGCGAGAGCGCCTAGCTTGCCCTCCCATCCCTCTTTTTTTTGTTCTCTCTCTCTCTCTCTCCCCTTCCACTTCTCGAACCTCCTTGAGCTCCCTAGACCTCCCCCCCGACCCTCTGACACCCGCCCTCCCGATCCCCCCCCCCCGCAGCCTCCTCGCTCCTCCTCAGCCTCCCTCTCTCTTCTCCCCCCACTCCCTCAAGACGCTCCAATGAGCACCCGTACCCCCCCCCCTTCCCCTGGACCCGCCATCGATCCTTTCTGAAACCCACTGGAACAGTCCCCTGTTGTTCCAACGGGAGCTGCCAAAGGTGGTTGGCCTTGCTGTTACTGTTATGCGTGCTTGGCCCACTGGGGATGAGTGGGGGTCGTGCTTCGTGAGGGGAAAAACAGGACCCTCCTGGCCCAGGGTGGCAAAGGCTCTTCCATCGACTGCGCGTAGGAGTGACCTTTCGCCAGAGTGACCTCTGGTGCAGGCCCACGGGGGCCCCCCATTCGCTGGACGCTATGAGGCAGTAGCGTCTCGCGCGCGCCTGCGTCTGACCCCCCCGCGGCCCCCAAAGAGGCCGCGCACAAAAGGTCACTCTTGCCCAGGGCCACTCTTGCGGGCAGTCGACCCCAGGGAGGCCCAGCTGGCCTCCAGAGCACTCCTCGCGAGGAGGAGGAGGGGGAGGGGGAGAAGGAGGGAGAGGGGGAGGGGGAGGAGGAGGGGGAGGGGGAGGGGGAGGAGGAGGAGGAGGAGGAGGAGGAGGAGGAGGAGGAGGAGGAGGAGGAGGAGGAGGGGCGCTCCACGGGCCACCTGTCCTGGAGCCTGGAAGCAGGGCCGCGGAGCATTGGGGGCTCGCAGCGGGTGGGCGGGCGGGCGACCCCTTCCCCCCCCTTGGGGGGGCAGGCGCGCTGGGAGGCGCCCGCTGCCCCGTCCGCGGAGCGCTGGGCGCAGGGCAGGCGCGCGCCGGGCATGCCTGGACGGGAGGCGGGCAGAAACTTCGCCGCCGCCGCCGCCGCCGCCGCCGCCGCCGCCGCCGTCGTCGTCGTCGTCGTCGTCGTCGTCGTCGTCGTCGTCGTCGTCGTCGTCGTCGTCGTCGCAGCAGGTCGTTGTCCCGAAGAGAGCGATGATTCGGAGGAGGTAGGAGGAGGGACGAGGAGAATGATGAGGAGGAGGTGGAGTAGGAGGAGGTGGGGGAGGTGGTGGAGGAGGATGCGGTGCTGGAGGAGGAGGTTGAGAATGAGGGTGAGGATGCTAATGCGGATGTGGATGTGGGTGTGGATGATAATGATGATGCTGATGCTGATGATGCTGATGATGTTGTTGATGATGATGATGCTGATGCTGATGATGATGATGAGGAGGATGATGATGATGATGATGATGATGCTGATGATGATGATGATGGTAGTGGTGATGGTGATGATCATGATGCTGGTGATGATGCTGTTGCCGATGAGGTTAATGAGGATGAAGACGATGATGCTGATGCTGCGGCTGCTGATGCTGATGATGGTTGTCATATGGTGGCCAGATAATGATCATATAATTCTCATGTGATAACGATGGCGATGACGACGATGGTGATGACGATGATGATGCTGATGCTGATGATGACAATTATGATGGTGATGATGATGCTGCTGCTGATGATGAGTAGGCTGTTGATGATGATGGTGATGCTGCTGATGATGGCGATGATTATTGGGATTATCAAGAGGATGTGAACGATGGTCTTGCAGATGAATATTCGGATGATGATGCAGCCGATGATGCTGTTGCTGATGAGGTGGATGCTTTAATGATGATGCTGATGATGATGCTGATGGTGATGCTGATGCTGATGATGATGATGATGATGATGATGATGATGATGATGATGATGATGATGATGATGTTGCTGTTGCTGTTGCTGATGAGGATGGTGGTGGTGATGATGCTGCTGCTGATGATAACGACGACGATGACGATGACGATGACGATGACGATGATGATGATGATGATGATGATGATGATGATGATGATGATGATGATGATGATGATGATGATGATGATGATGAGGATGATGCTGATGATGATGACGATGATGATGATGATGACGATGATAATGGGGAGGAGGATGAGGATGAGGATGAGGATGAGGATGAGGATGAGGATGAGGATGAGGAGGAGGAGGAGGAGGAGGAGGAGGAGGAGGAGGAGGAGGAGGAGGACGCGGAGGAGGAGGATAATGACTTGACTGCCTCGGGCGCGCGGAGATCAATGCGGACTCGGCTCAATATATCGCAGTTGACCACCCGGCAGCCTCTACACAGCCGCAGAGAGAGAGAGAGAGAGAGGAAGCACTGGGGGCACCAACTAGTGGGACCGCGTCGAGCACTGCGACCACGGCATCCACATGGAAAGTGGATCAGAGCACAACAATGGGCAGACAACCATGACCGACACTGACGCCCACCACTCAGCTACGCACAGCCAAGCACACGTCGTGGTATACAAGAAGGGCACGTCCCTGTCACGCACTTCTTCTTCTGAACTTCCCTCGTCCACCCGGACGGCGACATCGACAAGGTGCGCAAGGCCTACAAGGACTGGATTCCAAGCACCAGGTGCCAGGACATATGCTTGACCACTACCAAGGGCGAGCACCTACGCATCACCTGGGTCCAGGAGCAGCCAGCCCCACGCTCATGGACGCCGGCGGGATTTTGGGCATGGGGCGAGACGACTACCGACCCCGTGACACACCAGTCACACGAGCCAGGAGGGGTCCCTGATTCGCCGTGGCTCATCACAGAGGGAAAGGACTCCAATCGCCTACTCGAGTACGAAGGGTATGTGGCCAGCGTCATCGACGCCATCGTCAAACTTCGCCTCACCATGGACACGGAGGAACTGGACGAGTACCGCAGGGCGGTCTACAATATCATGTACCGTACCACCCATTACGATGTTTCACCGGGAGCACCGTACGACCAACCACGAGTCCACAGCAGACCAGCTGCGGTCACAAGGTCCGGCGACGGTGACCCTGACCATCGCCCCTAATCTCACCAACACCACGCAGGCTTTGCCTCCACCCGCCGCGCTCCCACGCAAGGATCGGCGGCCACATGGCGCCTGGACCCGCTGCATTCGCAGCGACGAGTCCAGCAGCCGGCTCGGCAACTCCAGCTCCCTGTCCTATGCTGACCGCAGGACCTATGGCACGCGCTGCCCTCACCATGAGGAGCACCAGCGTCGTTTTCACATCTCCCAGCGTTGCACCTCCCAGCTGCCGCTGCCCACGCGAAGCGCAGCTCTCCTATGCCTCCACCGTCTTTGCTCCACCGACGGCACGACCATGATTCAGCTGGCGACATCTTTGATCCACACATTCCGCCTTGCCATTCCTCTTCCAACCTACGCACTCACTACCATCACTGCAGCAGCAGCACCAGCTGAAAGCGACGCGGCGCAGAAGCACCCCCACCAGCATTCCTAGCACCGCCACTCGCACCAGGTGCGGCAGCTGACACCGCCTCACACCGCCTCACCTGGCGCCTTCTTCCACCTCTGCCATGCGCTACGCTCTCAGACCCACGCCCCTTCTCTACTACTCTCGGCTACCTTGGCCGCCACGCCCGCTCCCATGGCACGAGCAGGCCCTCCCGCGTCTACCTCCACAGGCAGCTAACTCCCCCGACCACGCGCACCCCAACCACCCCCACCTCGGCAACCCTAGCGATATCAGCGACCCCCCCTACTACGGCACACCTCCGGCACGCCCCCAGGCAAGCCGCATCCACCATGTGCCCCCCCCCGCCCCCCCCCTCCCTCCACCCGCTCTCTGCCACAGCTTGGGAGATGACAGTGATAGGGTTCTGCTGCCACCCAGCTCCCAAGCGGCTTAGACTGGAGCTCGATGGGTGATTGTAGACCTTGCTTGCATGCTCGCACACACGTGTGGGTCGCTCGGGAGTGCAGAGAACATCAGGAGCATCAGAAAGGACTCTTTACTACCCCTACTGAGGCATCTCAAGGCTCACCTAATCTACCCCTCCCTCTCCTTTTCTTCTTACTGCCCCTCTCCCACCACCTTTCGCTCACCAGCCTTCTCCACCTCACCCCCGCACGGCCTTAGGGCGAGGGCGGAGGCACGGGGTGAGAGGACGCTGGGACACGGGTGGGTGGGACGCAGGACGGGCCACGCTCGGCGCGGGTCTCCGTGGGGGGGGTACAGCCCCCACGCCGGCCGTGGACCAGGGGGCGCGCGTCCAGCCACGCAACCACCGCTCAGGGCGCCCGCCTTTGTCTACCCCGCGCCGCAGTTCTGCTCCACCCACCCCCGAGCTTGCACCGCCCAGTTCTGCTGCGCCGCGTCGCGTGGCACGTTTGCGCCTCGCACCCCTCCCTCACCTCTGGATGTGGATGTTGCGTTGGAGGAGTCGGATGCCCCGACCCCAGGAGAGGCGAGCCGAGGTGGGTGTCATCTCCCTCTTGGGGGCTGGGGCCCACGTCCAGGCCCCACCCGCACACGCACCTAGCCGCCACAGACAGCAACGCCTTTCCTCCCTCCCCTCAATTGCACATCATCTTCATCCTCATCCTCGTCCTCGCCGTTCTGTCGTTCCTTCTTCCTGTTCTCCCTTTTTTCGCACGTGTCCAACTCTTGGTCACGAAATGGGGGCGTACACGAAATCCGTTCCAAACGAAAACGGTGTTACGTTGAGTGCGTGCGTGGCGCTGCCGCACGCTGGTGGATCCGCTTGCCGCGCATTGCTTTTCATTGATCCCCTGGTAGTTGGCCGTCGTGCTTTGTCATGTTTGCGCGTAGCGTGACATGTCTGCTGTAGTCCCTGGCAGCCAACAGCGTAAGTGTTGTGCAAATTCAAAGAGAGTGCCGCCCAAACACAACTTCATTCCTGCGCGAGCGCAAAATTGCGGTCGCACGAACACGGCATTACTTTCGCACGAACGCCAGACTGTTTCCGGACGAGCCCGGAATCATGCTCGCACGAACACGTTAATGAGGCACGAGTTGCTGCGCGAACGCAGGCACGAAACGCGCCACGAGCTGCCGCGCGAAGTTGTCCGTAAAACATGGTGGTGCGAATGTCTCGGGCAGTTCCTGTTTTTTGGGGGCGCTCGCCAGCGCGGCCAGGCGCTCGCAAACGAGTCTGGGGAAACAATTCTGATGCCTTTTCGTGCGGCCATCCTGGGCGGCAGCTCTGGGGCCATTTCGGGCGGGCAATTTCGCGCGGGCAATACCGCGCGGGCAATTTCGCGCGCGCGCTTTCGCGCCCCTGCGTCGTTCTTCTCGCCGCTCATGCTCGTCGGCTGCCGCTGGCAAGCCAGGTTGTGTGTTTCCGCGGCGACGGCGTTGATAGGGCGCAGCGCTGCTAACGCTGAGGGTCGCAGTGCCGGCGGTTCGTGTGCATGTGCCAATGATAGGAAGGCACCAACTATACACCAACACCGCTCCTGGCCAGGATCACCCTGGGCCCAGGATCGGTGTATACGCTCTCCTGCCTTGCGCAAGAAGGCATATACACCGATCCTGGGCCCAGGGTGATCCTGGGCCAGGATCGGTGTTGGTGTATAGTTGGTGCCCTCCGAAATGATGAGAAGGGAGCGCGGTCCAACGCCACCACCGTTGGGCGGGCTGCCAGAGGTGTCCATCCGCAGATCGTAGTCGCACGGCGTTGCCCCGGGGCGCCAAAGGCAATGTCGTAGTCCCCTTCGTGCCTCGGTGGGTCTGGAAAGGGAGCAGCCTCCGAGAGCCCTTTCCCGCTCGGTTTTTTTTATACCCTCCCGCTGGCGGCTTGGTGGGGGGTCGAGGGGGCCGCTGCCGCTGTTGAGAGACAAAGGCTTGCAGCTCGAAGCTCGAAGGAGGACGAGTGCGAAGGGGGGGGGGGGAGAAAAGGGGGAACAACAGGAGGAGGAGAGTGGCCCGGGGGAGAGGCAGGATGTGAAAGGAGGAGGAGGAGGACGAGGAGG